ACTGAGTTTATGTTAATGGAGGAGGAACAACTCAGAAAAGAAGGGTGAGAATGGTTGCACGACTCGAAGAATGTGATCAGTGTCCCTGAATTGTACATGTAGAAACTGCTGGATTGATAACGTTTTGCTGTATATATTCTCAACAACAACAACAAAATAAAATTAAAAAAAAGAAGACTCACGCAGCCTAAAATGCCAGACTATTAAACTATTTGCATGTAGAACTTTGGTAACAGCGAATGAGGCAAGAATAGGGTTGGGGAGACAGCTGCAGCGTGTGACTGGGCCTTAGTAAAGGTGAGCCTGGGCTGCAGAAGCGCAGGTCAGGGCTCCTAACACAGCCTGATGGGCACCGTTCCCTGGAGAAAGCAATAAAGAGGAATTTAAAGGGCAGTAAGAAATGCTCTGGACACCCTTCGGGAGCAAGGGAGAAAGAAGAAAACAAGCTACAAGGGAAAGGTTAGTCCAAAGGACAATGGACCACAACTACCACAGCCTCCACCAGACTGAGTCCAGTACAGCTAGATGGTGCCCAGCTACCACCACTGACTGCTCTGACCGGGATCACAACAGAGGGTCCTGGAGAGAGCTGGAGAAAAATGTGGAACAAGATTCTAACTCACAAAAAAAGACCAGACTTATTGGCCTGACAGAGACTGAAGAAGCGCCAAGAGTATGGCCTCCAGGCACCCTTTTAGCTCAGAAATGAAGTCAGTCTTGAGGTTCACCCTTCAGCCAAAAATTAGATAGGCCCATAAAACAAAACGAGACTAATGGGGCACAACAGCCCAGGGACAAGAACTAGAAGGCAGGAGGGGACAGGAAAGCTGGTAATAGGGAACACAAGGTCGAGAAGGGAGAGTGTTGACATGTCGTGGGGTTGTTAACCATTGTCATAAAACAATATGTGTACTAACTGTTCAGTGAGAAACTTTGTTCTGTAAACCTTCATCTGAAGTACAATTAAAAAAAAAATTAAAAAAAAAAGAAATGCTCTGGACATGGAGGCAGGAGACTGAAAAGTTAACCATCTACAAAATCAAATCATATTTGAGTTAGCAGCATTAGATTCTATAGTCCAGCTCTGGGCATATGACATCCCTCTGTTTAAAGTACTGTTAGACATAATGGTAAAATTGATATGGAAATAGCCAATCAGAACCAAAGAAAAGAGTTAACAGACATGACAGCCATAAGACCTAAGACACTTCACTGATTATGCTTCTGATTTGACACTGAGCTGCCTGACAGCCAGTTCAAAAGGAGAAACTCCATTAATCGTGCATTATCAGGAAGGAGGAAGCCTTGGGAGACTGAGCTTCCTGGAGGGAGCTGGAGGCTCAGGGGCCAGATACACGGCATTGTCTCCACCCTTGAACTGCAAACATAGTACTGCGTTGCACAGGCGCCTTCCCAATTGGATGACTCTATAAAAGCAGAATGCATGAAGTTAAAAAGCAACTCAGTAAAAGGCGATTCCAGGAGTTTGTAGTATAGAACCTTCTGGGAATGGCATTACAAATGCAATGACTCTTTTATAATGCAATCTGGTCATCTCTTCTAAAGAGTTGAAAAAATATTCCTGTTCCACCCAACAGTCTTGGTTCTGGGAATTTATCCTGAGAAGATAGATCAGAAGAAGAACGTTAACATGCAGAAGTGCCTATTGGAGCCTCCTTCCTATGGCAAAATCATGGAAACCACCTAAATGACCAACAGTCTGGCAATTTTTTCAATTATGCAAGAAATACGTAAACATTTTCTCGTAGAAAACACAAATATTACAAACAAAGCTAAAATCCCCCTGGGCCCCCCCCCACAACCCCCACTTCCAGGCCTCTCTTCTGGGGCGACCACATTGTGTATTTGATGTATTTCTCTCCAGACCTTTTTCTTCTTTGTTTACATACATGAGTTTGTACGGGTAGAAATAGGTATTTTGTTTTATGAAGAGATTTTGTAATCTCCCTGGTGTCATACTCTACATATGGTTCTACAGCTTGCTGTTTTGCCCAGGAGGTCCTTATATCAGCATATTTTGATCTCCCACATTCTTTTTTTAACTGCTGTGTATTCTGTTCATGAGTTTATTTAACTCTTCCAGTATTCAGTGGTTTCTAGTTTTCCGCAGGAATCTCTGGGTACTGCTAACCCAAGGGTGAGAGATTTGAGTCCACCCAGAGTTGCTTCAGAGGAAAGGCCTGGAGATCTACTTCTGGAAAATTGAAAACCCTATGGAGCACAGTTCTTCTCTGACACACGTGAGGTCCCCACGAGTCAAAATTGACTTGCCGGCGACTGGTTCGTTTAATTTTTCATTTTCCTCAATTAAAGCAATGCAGTGAAAATGAAAATGTATTTCACCATGGCACACTCCTGGGTTCTCGGGTGCAGGGTTTTCATTTTTACAGTAATTCGCAAATTCCTGTAAACAGGATGTCCCATGCTCCCCCAGCAGTGTGAGATGGCGCCTGTTTCCCACATTCTCTTCCCAAAACCCCATAGTCGTCGAGTTGATTCCGACTCGCAGCGACCCTATAGGACCTATAGGGTTTCCAACGAGCAGCTGGTGGATCCGAACTGCTGACCTTTTGGTTAGCAGCCGAGCTCTTCACCACTGCACCACCAGGGCTCCATACTCTCCCCAGCACTTGATAACTACCAGGCTTTTTAATTCCTCCCTCCCCCCATCTGATTGGAGGGAATAGTAACATTTGGTTTTAATTTGCTTTTCTCTGCTTACTAGTGACGTGAAGAACTTTTCATATTTTGGATATTTAGACGTTTGTATTTCCTTTTCTGTGTACTTCTTATTGGGTTATTGTTAATTTGTAAGAGTTCTTTATATATTTGAAATAGGAATTCACGGTTTGCTTTATATTTGCAAATACTTTCTCCCACTGCGTCCCTTGCCTTTTGACTTGACTTACGGCATCTATTGTCAGATATTTTCATCTGTTTTTTTGGCTTGTATCATTTATGTCTACTCCACATTTATAAGAATATTCTCTTTGTTTCTATCATGGGGACTGTTACGAGGTAGCAGTCTCATCTTATTCCTTTATTAATGGGGCAGTCATATCTCCTAGCCCAGCCTATAAAGTAGCTCATCTTTTTCTCACTGATTTGAAATATAGCACTTATTAGGGACTGTGCCATGAATCTATTCTTCTATCCTTGCAATGATAACCACACTACTGTTAATTACTATTGGTAGTAGGAGAATATTTCAATAAATGATGGTAAAACTTACTTGGTTGAATGTCATGCATTAAGATGAATGAGTATTAAAAAAGATTACTGAATATGAAAACTATCTAGTAAAATAAAAACTATATAGTAAAAATAAAAAAGTAAAAAAGTGTATAAAATAATAAAGTCAAAGCTGAGTATGCAGTTTTATTTACACGCTGAGTGTACAATTTTATATACACTGTACTTTTAAGTGGAGCCCTAGTGGCACACTGGGTAAGAGCTCGGCTGCTAACCAAAAGGTCAGCAGTTCAAATCCACCAGCCGCTCCTTGGAAACCCTGTAGGGCAGCTCTACTCTGTTCTATAGGGTCGCTGTGAGCCGGAATCGACTCGACAGCAAGGGGTTTGGTTTTTTTGTTTGTTTTTGATACTTTTAAGTAGGTGAAAATACACGTACATATTAACAAGGACTGTTATAGATTGAATTGTGTCTCCAAAAAGACATTTTGAAGTCCTAACCCCTGGTGCCTATGAACATGACTTTGTTTGGAAATAGAGTCTTTGAACATGTTGTCAGTTAAAAACCCTTTCATGAACAGCAGGACATGTAGCACCCACCTACGTTTTCTGCCTCTCAGGGTTTATTAGGAAGCTGCTATACCCCTGACGGCGCATGCTGCCAGCAGGCAGGGACCCGTATAACTGTTGGAAACAGCACAAGCGAGTGTGTGCTGCAAATTACTGTTTTTACAGGGTATTGTATGAGGTGGTGCTCAGTCAATATTTTTGGTGGACAAAATATGGATTTTGATGAATATTATTTGGTACGCATATGTCCCTCTGGGCTCTCAGGGTAGGACTGGTAGGATGAGGCAAGAAAAAAATGCATTTTCCCTACCAAAAATTCAGACACTCAGTGAGCCAGCATGCATTCCATTAAGGAAAAAAAAATGATATAAACAAAACATTTTTTTTTTAATATTTTTAATTCATTCATGAAAGCGTTAACATGAGGTCATACTGGAGTAAGATATGTCCCAATCCAATATGAGTAATGTCCATTTAAAAAGAAGAGACACAGAAGACAGTCGTGTGAGGACGGAAGCAGAAATTAGAGTTACGCTGCCACAGGCCACAGAACTCCTGAGACCACCATAAGCTAGAAGAGGTGAGGAAGGATTCCTCCCTCGGAGCCTTCAGAGAGAGCACAGCCCTGCTGACATCTTGATTTCAGACCTCTAGCCTCCAGAACTGAGAGAATAAGTTCTGTTGTTTAAAGCCCCTCGCTTAATGGTACTTTGTTATGGCGGCCTTAGGAGACTAACACAAGGACTACAATAAACATAAAGACATGAAAACAGCTAAATTAGGGTGGTAGAAATGCAGTCCACCATTTTTCCTTTTAAATTTCTTCTAAAGTTATGGTTAAAGTAAATAAACAAACAGTTGCCATCAAGTTGATTCTGACTCATGGCGACCACACGTGTGTCAGAGTAGAACTGTGCTCCATAGGCTTTTCAGTGGCTGCTTTTTCAGAAGCAGATCACCAGGCCTTTCTTCTGAGGCGCCTCTGAGTGGACTTGAACCTCCAACCTTTCAGGTAGCGGTGAGTGCGTTAACCATTTGCACCACCCAGGAACAACGTTATTGTAATGTTCCCTTAATAATAAAAACATTTTCAGACATTCCCCAGCCATGATATGGGTATGCTATCTCCTTCCTCAAGAGAGGTTTTGTACTAATTTTTGCCATTTCAGGTGGTTGCCACTGACCCATTCTTCATGGCCTGTTTTTGGTTTGTTTCAGATAAAACTTACCTGGTTGACTTAAGTAATGAGCGTGCCATGTCACTCACCATCGAAGCACGGTCTGACACACTGAGCCACAGGTTTGTCCCCACCTGCTTTGTGTGCCTGGAGTCTTGGACCTGCAGCACCAACTTGACCCTGACTTCCGGCTCCAAATACAAGGTCTCCTTCCTCTGTGACAGTCTGACCCGCCTGCGGATGAAGGGAGAGAAAACCATAAGTACGCCCCACTAGTGCATTTCGCCCTGGGCTGCGGGAGGCTCCCCTTCCCTGCCCCATCTTCTCAGAGGGGTTCACTAGGTAGGCTGTAAATCGTATGATCAGAAATGTCTACCTGCTCTGCAGGTGGGCAAGGAAAACCAAGAGGCAGAAAGAACAAGATGAAGATGTGCCCCTTCTAGGAGCAGGCAGCCCCAGTTAGAGCATGCATCCTTCAGAAGTACGGATTTGCCCAAGCCACTGCACTCCCATGTCCACGCTACGTTTCTCCTCTGTCGATCGTCTCGTCTCCCTCTTGTAAAGTCCTCTCTCCCCACCTCTCCCATCCCTGTGTCCCAGGCTTCTACATTCACTGTCCACTTGTCTTCTTTCACACAAGACTGAGATCCTTGAGGCCAAGAGCTTGGACTTGTTCCATTTTTATCCTTTTAGTCCCCTAGCAGTGCTAGATATGTGCTAGTCACCTAATGAATGTTTGATAAATGAAGGGCAGCAAAACCAATATTCACTGCCCTGCTGGGTCACCTACATGCACACTGCCTGACATGGGTGCTCTTAGAATCTCAACAGATGCAGAAGTTGAGGCCACAAGAGGCAAAGCAGACTGCCCGAGGTCACCTCCTTAGGAAGTAACAGAGCTAGAATGTGAACTAAGATCTTCCCAGCACCACTCACTGCTCTAACCACTACACAAACTGCCTCCCCACAGACTGAGGCACTGGTCAACATGTCTGGGTATAAAAACCCGTGCCCTGCCCACGTGACTCTTAGCATCCAAGACACAGACACACAGAAGAGAGAATGTAGCAAAAAAGAAGAAAAAATGTCAACCATAAGTACTCCTCAGAAATGCGTCTGCCAGTTTAGTAGACAGTAAGAATATGCCAGGAATGACAAATTTAAAAGGAATAGTGTCACAGTCATCGTCAATAAGAACATTTCAAGATCTAGATCTACCGTGAAGTAAAACACTGTCAGTGATAGGATAATATCCATACACCTACAAGAAAGACCAGTTAATACAAGTATTATTCAAATTCACGCATAAAGAAATTGAAGATTTGTAACAACTTCTGCAGTCTGAAATCGATCAAACATGCAATCAAGATGCACTGATAATTACTGGTGATTAGAATGTAAAAATTGGAAACAAAGAAGAAGGATCAGTAGTTGGAAAATACAACCTCGGTGATAGAAATGACGCCGGAGATCGCACGATTGAATTTTGCAAGACCGATGGCTTTTTCATTGCAAATACCTTTTGTCAACAACATAAACAACGACTATACACATGGAGGACCCCTAGTGGCACAATGGTCAAGCATTTAGTTGCTAACCAAAAAGGTCAGCAGTTCGAATCCACCAGCCGCTCCTTGGAAACCCTGAGGGACAGTTCTACTCTGTCCTGTAGGGTCACTATGAGTTGGAATCAACTCGACAGCAACAGATTTGGTTTTTTTGGATACGCGTGGACCTCACCAGATGGAATACACAGGAATCAAATTGACTACATCTGTGGAAAGAGAAGATGGAGAAGTCAGTATCATCAGGCAAAATAAGGCCAGGGGCTGACTGTGGAACAGACCATCAATTGCTCATATGCATGTTCAAGTTGAAGCTGAAGAAAATTAAAACAAGTCCACGAGAGCCAAACTACAACCTTGAGTATATCCCACCTGAATTTAGAGACCATCTCAAGACTAGATTTGACACACTGAACACTAATGACCAAAGATCAGATGAATTGTAGGATGACATCAAGGATATAATACATGAAAAAAACAAAAGGTCATTAAAAAGAAAGAAAAGACTAAAATGAATGTCAGCAGGGACTCTGAAATTTGCTTTTCAATGTAGACCAGCTAAAACAAATGGAAGAAATGATGAAGTAAAAGAGCTGAACAGAAGATTTCAAAGGGTGGCTCGAGAAGATGAAGTATTATAATGAAATGTGCAAAGACCTGGAGTTAGAAAACCAAAAGGGAAGAACGTGCTCGGCATTTCTCAAACTGAAAGACCCGAAGAAAAAATTCAAGCCTCGAGTTGCAATATTGGAGGATCCTCTGGACAAAATATTGAATGACGCAGGAAGCATCAAAAGAAGACGGAAGGAATACAGAGTCACCGTACCAAAAAGAATCGGCTAACGTTCAACCATTTCAGATGGTAGCGTATGATCAAGAATTGATGGTATTGAAGGAAGAAGTCTAAGCTGCACTGAAGGTATTGGCGAAAAACAAGGCTCCAGGAATTGATGGATGTCAAGGATTAAATTGTGTCCCCCCAAAATATGTGTTAACTTGGTTAGGCCATGATTCCTAATATTGTGTGGTTGTCCTTCATTTTGTGACTGATGTAATTTTCCTATATGTTGTAAATCCTAATCTCTTCCTATGGTTAATGAGGCAAGATTATGTTAAAGAGGGTTAGGGTGGGATGTAACACCCTTACGCAGGTCACATCACTGATCCAATGTAAAGGGAGTTTCCCTGGGGTGTGGCCTGTGTCACCTTTTATAAGAGGTAAAAGGAAGGGGAAACGAGCAGAGAGTTGGGGGACCTCATACCACCAAGAAAGCAGCGCCAAGAGCAGACCCAGGGTTCCTGTGTGGAGAAGCTCCTAGTCCAGGAGAAGACTGATGAGGAGGACCTTCCTCCAGAGCCGACAGAGAAAGAAAGTCTCCCCCTGGAGCTGACGCCCTGAATTTGGACTTCTAGCCTACTAGACTGTGAGAAAATAAATTTCTCTTTGTTAAAGTCATCCACTTGTGGTATTTCTGTTATAGCAGCACTAGATAACTAAGACAATGGAATACTAATTAAGATGTTTCAGCAAACAGATGCAGTGCTGGAGATGCCCACTCATCTATGCCAAGAAATTTGGAAGACAGCTTACTGGCCAACCAACTGGAAGAGATCCATATTTGCACCCATTCCTTAGATGTGTGATCCAACAGAATGCGGAAGTTATCAAACAATATCATTAATATCGCACGCAAGTAAAATTTTGCTAAAGATAATTCAAAAACAGATGCAGCAGTACATCTTTAGGGAACTGCCAGAAATTCAAGTTGGATTCAGAAGAGGACATGGAACGAGGGATATCATTGCTGGTGTCAGATGGATCCTGGCTGAAAGCAAAGAATACCAGAAAGATGTTTACCTGTGTTTTATTGACTATGCAGAGGCATTCAGCTTGTGGATCATAACAAATTATGGATAACATTGCAAAGAATGGGAATTCTAGAACACTTAATTGTGCTTATGAGGAACCTGTACATAGACCAAGAAGCAGTCATTCAAACAGAACAAGGGGATACTGCGTGGTTTAAAGTCAAGAAAGGTGTGTGTCAGGGTTGTATCCTTTCACCATACTTATTCAATCTGTATGCTGGGCAAATAATCCAAGAAGCTGGACTATGTATGAAGAAGAACGAGGCATGAGGATTGGAAGAAGACTCATTAACAACCTGCAGTTTGCAGATGACACAACTTTGCTTGCTAAAGTGAAAAGGATTTGAAGCACTTCCTGGTGAAGATCAAAGACCACAGTCTTCAGTATAGATTGTACCTCCACATAAAGAAAACAAAAATCCTCACGACTGGACAAATAAGCAACATCATGATAGAGAAAGGATTGAAGTTATCAAGGGTTTCATTTTACTTGGATCCACAATCAACGCCCATGGAAGCAACAGTCAAGAAATCAAAAGACGCATTGCATTGGGCAAATCTGTTACAAAAGACCTCTTTAAAGTGTTAAAAAGCAAAGATGTTACTTTGAGGACTAAGATGTGCCTGACCCAAGCTGTGGTATTTTCAAGTTGCCTCATATGCATGTGAAAGTTGGACAATGAATACGGGGGACTGAAGAAGAATTGATGGCTTTGAATTATGGTGTTGGCAAAGAATATTGAATATACCAAGGACTTCCAGAAGAATGAACAAATCTGTCTTGCAAGAAGTACAACCAGAATGCTCCTTACAAGCAAGGATGGTGAGATATTCCATCTCATGTAACTTGGACATGTTATCAGGAGGGACCAGTCCCTGGAGAAGAGCGTCATGCTTGGTAAAGTAGAGGGTCAGCGAAAGAGAGGAAGATCCCCAATGAGATGGATTCACCCAGTAGCTGCAGCAATGGGCTCAAGCATAGCAATGATTGTGAGGATGGTGCAGGACCAGGCAGTGTTTTGTTCTGTTGTACATAGCGTCACTGTGAGTCAGAACAGATTCAACAGCACCTGACAACAAGAAGAAGAATATAAGAGGAGTCCCTGGGCTGCGCTAATGGTTAATGTGCTCGACTGCTAACCAAAAGGTCACAGGTTTGAGTCCATCCAGAGGTGCCTTGGAAGAAAGACCTGGTGATCTGCTTCAGAAAAATCAGCCACTGAAAACCCTGTGGCGTTAATGGTGGTAGAATAATTTGGAAAAGGATTAGTGTTGATGGTTATACAACAGGATGAACATGATCCATGTCACTGAATTGTACATGTAAACATTGTTGGATTGAAAAATATTTTATGTTAAAATGTTTTGTTAACCACAATAAAAGGAAAGAAGGAAGGGAGGCGGGAGGGAGAGAAGAAGGAAGGAAGGAAAGAGAAGGGAAGACAGATAGCCTTAGGAAGCATGGTTCTACTCACATGGGGTCACCATGAGTCAGAACTGACTCTGTGGCCGCTGGCCTGGTTTAGATATGAGAGAGCAGGAGGGAGAGCCAGAAAAGGAGCATGAAGGAGCCAGGGATGGAGGACAGAGAAGGAGAGGCAAGACCAAAAGGAAAAGCAGGGAAGCAACCAGATGTCCAGCCCAGGTGGGGAGGATGCTCTTCTGGCCCTCCTCTTCGCATGGGTACCATGAACCCCTCTTTTCCAGGCTGTACAGACCACCGGTACTGCCACAGGAAGTCCTTTCCTCTCCAGGTGCCTGAGAACATCTTCCAGCTGCCCGTGCAGCTCCACCACTTCTCCTGGAAGCTGCTGGTACCCAAGGAGAAGCTCAGCCTGGCACTGGTGCCCACCCAGAAGCTGCAGCAGTCCACCAATGAGAGGGGCTGCAACACCAGCTTTAGCTACTTCGTGGCCGGCACCGTCCCTGGCCAGGACCTTTATTTTGGCTCCTTCTGCCCTGGAGGCTCCATCGAGCAGATCCGGGTGAAGCAGAGCATCTCAGTGACCTTCCGCACCTTTAAACCCAACTTCCGCCAAGAGGCCTCCAGGCAGGGCCTGACCGTGTCCTTTATACCATATTTCAAAGGTAAGGGCATTTTTCACCCTCCCCCCATTTTCATGCCTCCCTAGGCTTTCTCTTGTGGACATTCATTTTATTGTGGCTTTGTGATCATCTTCATTAAGAGAAGGAATGGCTAAGTGGGCCAGAAGTAACTAACAAGAGAACCTGCTAAAGGAGTTGAAAGTGGTTGTTCTGGGGAGTAAGGAATAGAGGTGGCAGGGTGAGGAGGGAGTTCTGTTTTCATCTTAAACCTTATAAAACTATTTGGTTCTTTAATAAACCAGTGGTTCTCAATCAGAAGGGATCCTGAATCTTAGTCCTGATTTTCCCATTAGTCTTACATGGAAAATTCCAGGGGTTAGAAATAAGAAAGATGTTTCTGACGGCGGGAATGCTGGTTGGTAGGCAGCAGAACAAATAATCAGGGTCAGATCTTTTTTTGGAAGCAGGCAGATTATAAATGAGCAATAACCAAATTTTCCAGAGTCCTGGGTATTTAACATAAAAAACCTAATGTGGACATTTTTATGATTCTGCTTTTACAATTCAGAATAGTCTGTGGAGAGCACAGAGGGAGGAATGTTGGGAGGGCGCTGAATCTGCCTCTGGAGCACTGAGGGTCCTGTTCTCCAGTGTGGGGAACAGACGCCTCCTGGAAGGTTGGTGTGTGGTCTTCAGTGTTCTAAGGCAGTAAGTGAGGTCTAAATGATTCACATCCGTGACATCTACATGGTTTGTTTAAGAAAGTCACAGTCGTCATTATAATTTACTCAAAGTTACTTTAAGTTAGAGCCTATTTTAAAATCAGCCAAGACCTTCAAACTTTTGTTCTCCTTTCGTTCTTGGAGGCATGAGTGGGAGGGAGAACAATTTTTGGCCATAAGATTAAGGTGGGTCCAGGCTGCCTGACATCACCAAGGTTACCAGAGAAACTCCTTGAGGGGAGTCTCTGAAAATAAGACACATTCCCATCCATGTAGAATGTTGGGTTTTCATCTCACCTGAAGGTATGGAATGGATTAATTGACATGTCTGAGGCTTTTTCAGCTTTGTGATTCTAGAATTCTTCCCAGAACCTGAAGGTTTTTTCAGTCTCTGAAACAGAAATCAGTATATCTCAGTCCTACCATGGAGCAGCGGCTTCAGATGGATGTTAACCTCGTTGAGGGCATTTCTGAGTGGAAGGTCTGAGATAACCACTAATTTGGCAAACTAGCCCGTTTGGTGTTTGCTTGTTTTGTTTTTTTTCAACAGATCTGAGCACCTAATCTGACTGAGCCTGTAACTCTGCACTGAGCAATATGGTAGCCAGTTGCCACATGTTGCTATTTAAATTTAAATTAATATTACACAAAATTAAAAATATAGTTTCTTCAGTCACACTGGGCACATTTCAAGTAGTCAATAGATACATGTGGCGAGTGGCTACCATACTGGACTGTGCAGATAGAGAACATTTCCATCACCGCGAAACATTCTATTGGACAGCGCTGATCTAGATGGTTTAACATTGTTTTCTCCATCACTTCTTTGTCCCTCCATTTTGATTGAATGAAACAACATCTATCTGGATTCCCTTCCCTTTCCTGCAGAGGACGGCATTTTTACAGTGACGCCGGACATAAAAAGCAAGGTCTACTTGAGGACCCCTACCTTGGACTGGGGCCTGCCACCTCTCACCTCAGTGTCCTGGAACATCAGTGTGCCCAGGAACCAGGTGGCCTGCCTGACCTTCCTCAAGGAGAGGACCGGTGTCGTCTGCCAGACAGGGCGTGCGTTCATGATCATCCAGGAACAGCGGAGCCATGCCGAGGAGATCTTCAACCTAGAAGACCAGGTGCTCCCCAAGCCAAGGTTTCACCATCACAGCTTCTGGGTCAACATCTCCAACTGCAGCCCTGTGAGTGGCAAGCACTTGGACCTGCTCTTCTTGGTGACACTCACCCCAAGGAAGACAGGTAAGGGTTGTCCAGGTCTTACAGAAAATTGGGAAATTTGAGGAGCAAGCCAGGAATGGGAGTAAAAAACATGGATTTGAGTCCTGACTGTCCCTGTATCAGTCAGCTGTGACATCAATAATCCTGTGTAACAAACCACCCCAGAACTTGTGAGGTACCATCGAGTCGATTTTCAACTCATAGTGACCCCATGTGACAGAATAGAACTACTCCATAGGGTTTCTTGGCTATAATCTTTATGAGAGCGGATCGCCAGGTCTGTATCCCATGGAGCAGCTGGGTGGGTTTGAACCACCAACAGGCTTAGCAGCCAAGCCCTTAACTATTGCACCACCCCAGAACTTAGCAATTTAAAAACAACTACCGTATTTTTACACAAATAACAAGCACTTTCTACGGTGGTTTGCCAACCACACCCTACTCCCCCACCCCACCCCACCCCCAGGTATTTTCATAAGCTCACTATGCTAAATTTTTTTTATAGCAACATGTTAAAAAAAAATCAGCACAGCGCATCTTTGAAAACACCTGGCAGGGGTCAGCTGGCAAACAAATGTAGAAGGCACACATTATTTGCATAAAAATACGGTATTTATTATTGCTCACAGTTTGGCTGGGCAGTTCTGGTCTGAGCTGGGCTTACCAGAGCTCACCTACATACCTATGAACAGCTGCGGGTGGGCTAAGTGACTTTGCTAATCTTGGCTGGGCACTCTCACGTGTCTGGGGCCCAGCCACGATCAGCTGGGACAGCTGGACTTACTTGACTCTCTTCCACATGGTCTCTTATCCTCCATCCTGGGCTTGTTCTTAGAGCAGAGGCAGAGAGACCCAAGAGAGACTGGATGCACACGAAGTCTCTTGACATTTAGGTAGGCACTAGCACACCTTCACTTCTGCCACGCTCTTTTGGCCGAAGGAAGTCATGTGGCCAGCCTCGATTCAAGGGGTGTGCAACCAGACTCCATCTCTTGATTGGGGGAACTGCAGAGTCACATAGAAAAGGACATGACTCAGGGATGGGGGAGAATTAGGGCATTTTTGTAGTCAACCTATCACTGTCCATTACTACTCATGTCTCTCTGACAAAGGGGAAGTCTCTTTATAGTCCTGTGATCTTAGCCTCCTCATCTGTAGTGAGTAGATGATAATAACTACCTCACAGAAGTATTGTGGGGATTCAGTGTTGGTGATTAAAACATGGGGAACTGGAAAGTGTGACACAGATACACGGTGCTGGTGTTTTTTCTTTAGTCCCATTGAAACACTGAAATCCATGAAATGCTCTCAGCATCAGCCCTCAGCACCACGATGAGGAGTTGGCCTTTATCGTCAGAGTTACAGGAGCCACGGAAGACTTTCAAGCAAGGGAAAGGCCCTCTTCCAATTTGCAAGTGTGCTAGAACAATCTCTGATGTGGCCGTGTGCACCCTTTATTCAGAGATGGCTGCAGAGCATCACGGAGCTTTGGAGCCAGAAGGGACTGTAGAGATTGTTTCCTCAGGCCCTTCCCTTTCTGGCGGTTAGAGAGATTGCAGGTTTGCCTAACACAGTTGGTTAGTAGCAGGAGAACTGGTGGGAACCAAAAGCCACAAGTGAAAAGCTCTCCCTCACTCTCAAGTTAGCTCCTAGGCTTTCTTCTTCTCTTACATTTATTTTCTGTCATGTTTTCCGGTTTCGGTCTCACCTTTTGTTGCCTTGGTGAACAAGCAAGAAATGCTAAATCGCTGTTTGGGGTAGTGCTCCCTCTCTGATTTATTTTCTTTTTCCTTTGTACTACTGTAGGAAAAGGACAGCACAAACACACAACCTTCTCCTTAACTCCTTCTCTTCTGACTTTTCACTCCCTACTTTCTCCTACACTCCTCTGCTCTGCTCTTCTCTGAGACAGGCTGTGGCAGATGGGGAAACAGCACCCGGTATAGGCCAGGAGTAGCCTTTGGAGTAGATCTGGTAGGTCTTCCCATCCCCAGTTTGTTTCAATTATCTATTACTGCTTAGCAAACTACCCTGAATTTTAGTGGCTTAAGACAATAATTATTTTATTTGTTCACCATTCCATGGGTCAGGAATTCGGACAGGGCACAGCAGGATGGCTCATCTCTGCTCCAAGATGTCTGGGACCTCAGCCAGATGCCTTGAACAGCTAGAAGCTGGCTGGAATAGTTCAGTGGGAGCCATGTCTGGGGTCTTGGTGCTCCCTTTTGGATGGGTTTCCTACTTTTTTCCCACATGGAGTCGCTACATGGCTAGCTTGGGCTTCCTAACAGCATGGTGGTCTCTGCAGAGTCAGATTTTTTGCATGTTGACTGGCTTCCCCTCAGAGAGCTGCCAGACCTCTTAAAGGCTAGGCCCAGAACTGGCAGAGCTGTATTCTATTGGCCAGCCCAAACTCGAGAGGGAGGGAAATAGACTGCTCCTCTTCTGTGAGGAGCAGTGTATGCATACAGGGAGGGAAGGAATTGATGGCCGCCATCTTTGGACACAATCTACTATAAGTTCATCTTTGACTTAACCCCACAAATCTCCTCATCTCTCTATCTGTGTCTCTGCCCACAGACCTGACTGTTATCATCATTGCAGCAGTGGGAGGTGGAGCCTTACTGCTGTTTGCCCTCGGACTCATCATTTGCTGTGTGAAAAGGAAGTAGGTAGAATTCCTCAAACTATCTTCTGCTGATTTGATCCCTCCTCAGATCTATGCAGAGCAGATGTATCATAATTATTGACTTTGTTTTCTTGCTTCCTATTTATCCCCCAAAGATCAGCATTAAATAATGTTGCCAGATGAGAGTTATGCTTTGAGGAGGGGGAAGAGAAAAAAAAAACCATACCTAGGGGAAAACGTGTTATGACATTTTTGCCTACAGTTGATTGTGCCTCAGCACACATTCCCTGTGAATCTTTGGCTGTTTGCTCGTTAGACTGTGATCATCCAAGGAGCTATCTGGGCAGGAAAACACTCACGAAGGCCCTGCCAGACCAGGCTTCTGAAACTGCTCACACTGTCACCCTGAGGAAAACGAACGCACACTGCCCCAGCTTGTTTTCCTCCAGTTCCTTAAACAAACTGTCTATTTTATGCTTGTTTATTAAATTCCAGACAAGCAGCAAAAAGCCAGCCCTGGGGATGAGAGGGAGGAAGACTCAGTTAACTGACTCAGCCTCACCTCCCACCAGCTCAGGACAACACTTCTCTTTTATGAAAGGAAAATGTTGACCTTTCTAGACAGATTTTATACATTCTACTCAAATTTCTGATTAGGGGAGGAATCTGTTTTCTTTAGCATGATTTGACCTTCCAAAAAGCCAAAAAAAAAAAAACAAACCATGTTTTATTAACTGCGGCCAGGAGCAAACAACAGAAACTCCCGATCTGCGTTGAGACTGTCTAGAAATGTCTCCACTGATGAGGACGGCCTAGCTCACAGCAGACCCAGAGAGAGGCCTTCCCTCCTTGAAGTGAGATTGTACACATATCATGCTGGGGGGAAAGGATTTCTTTTAAACCTCATTTTGTGGTTTCCCCCGGGAGACTTTCTTGTCAGGGTGCACCCAGATGGGAAAGCTTGGCCATGTTCACACAGGGCCCGGCCTCCTCATCAGGAGGGAATCCATCTCTAAACAGCCCCCGTCGTGGCCTGAGTGGGTGAGGTCACTGGCCGGCAGGTTTGTATAAGGCCCATCCCAGAGTTGGTGTGGGAGGATAAATGAGTTCTGTGGTGAGAATGGAGGGAAACGCCATCAAACTTGTTCTTTAAAGATACATTACCTGAGGGTCTCCTGGGCACTGAAGATACAAGAGTGAGCAAGACCCAGTCTCTTCTATGGAACTCACAGTCTCTGGGGAGTGGAGGAGAAATGAGGCAGGCACAGAAATAGTCAGTCTCAGGGCAGCATGAGAAGAGCTATGGCAGGGGCAAGCAGGGCTTTGTGGGAACACCAAGGAGGGGGGTCCATTCCTGGGCATCAGGCAGGAGCCTTTGGAGCCCATCATCCCAGCCAAAGACACAATGTTAAAAGCCCCATGTACTAGATATATTTTTATGTCAGAAAAGTACAGGGATTCCGTGCACAGTGAACCTACAGCCTCTGCATTCTATGGTCCATTATGCTAATTGAGCTAATGTCCTCCATTTGAATTTTCCCCTGCTGTTTGGCTCGCAGAGATATTTTCCGTGGCAGGGGGTGCTAATGCCTGTCCGCATCCAGGTACCAAAGAGCACGAAAGACCAAACGTTAATGGTGTTATTGAGGAACTCTAGCCCCACAGCCTGAATTTTGTCGTCCTTTTACCTCTTCCTCTGTTGGAGGTCATGGCTGAGGAGACTGGATCTTTCTGTTAATGCTCTCCCCCAGCTCAAGCTGAAAACTAAGATACACCTTCCTTCCTGAGGCTTGTATATTACCATTTACAATCTAGATGGTCAGAGCTTTTACCGATGCAAAAGAAAGAGTGAAGCATTATCCTCGGGGAAGTACTGAGAGTTCCAGAAGGTTGGTCTGGGCATGCTGAGCCTGATGTGGTTTAGAAGGGCTGGGACACCATCTGTTTCTAGTAAGAAAGAGGGCAAAAGTATCATCAGACAACGCCACCGTTGGAGACTGCATAACTGCATCAAAATCTAATTTGAGCATAAAAAAAACCATGGCTGTCGAGTTGATTCTGACTCATAGTGACCCTGTAGGACAGAGTAGAACTGTCCCATGGGGCTTCCAAGGCTATAATCTTTACGGAAGCAGACTGCCACCTCTTTCTCCCACGGAGTGGCTAGTAGATTCGAACTGCCAACCTTTTGGTTAGTAGCTGAGCACTTAACCACTGAGTCACCAGGTCTCCTTAGTTTGAGCATAGATAGTGGTGCCTTCTCTAAACCACTATCGCCCAGCTGTGATCTCTCCATTTTCACCCTGAAAAGCAGAGACAAAAGCTGGTCACTTCTAAATGCTCAAGAGCCCTGGTGGTGCATTGGTTAGAGTGCTCAGCTGCGAACCAAAAGGTTGGTGATTCAAACCCACCAGTTGTTCCACGGGAGAAAGATGTGACAGTCTGCTTCCATAAAGATTACAGCATTGGAAACCCTGTGGAGCATTCTATTCTGTCCTGTAGAGTCACTATGAGTTGGAATTGGCTCAACGGCAGTGAGTTTCTAAATGCTCTCTGAGGACAGTAGTTTGGGTTTCAAATGCTAAGCAGTTTGAAGGAGATGGAGGAGACAGGGCCAAAACCCCGAAGAATCTAAGTTGTTAGCTGCTATGGAGTCGGCTCCAACTCATGGTGACCTTATATAACAACGAAACATTGCCTGGTCCTGCGCTACCTTCATGATCATTAATATGTTTGAGTCCGTTGGGCTGTATAAATGGTGCTCATCTAAGATTGTTTCCTTCCTGACTTGTCTGTCTTGTTCCCTTTCTCCCAATAGGAAAAAGGAGATAAACAAGGGCCCTGTCGTAGGTATCTACAATGGCAACATCAATACCCAGATGCCAAAGCAGCAAAAAAAGTTCCAGAGAGGACGAAAGGACAATGACTCCCACGTGTATGCAGTCATCGATGACACCATGGTGTATGGGCAACTGCTACAGGATTTCAATGGATCCTTCCTCCAGGCGGAGGTGGACACCTACCGGCCCTTCCAGGGCCCCACAGGGGATTGCCCTCCCTCCCCACCCCCCATATGCTCCAGGGCCCTGACTGCAAAGTTGACCGCAGAGGAGCACCCCCCTTGTTTCTCTCCTGAGTCCGAAAATGAACCATACACCTTCTCCCACCCAAACAATGGGAATGTGGGCAGTGGAAAGACAGACATTCCCTTGTTAGACACGCAGGAGCCAGTGAAGCCAGCAGATCCAGGGGAATAACTTGGACCCAGCCTCAAACACTTCGCTGAGATGCATAGAGCAGGGTCCTGAGACACCTTTTAGTGTTCCTCACCAGAAACCCTAAAGAAAAGGAACTATCGAGAAGGAACAGCAGAAGGTCTTTCTGGACACCACTGACTTATGACTTCCAAGTGAACTCATTCTGATGAGATGTTGAAAATGATGAATTCTGATCTGGATACAGTTGTCCCAGTTCATATCCTTCTAAACTAAGGTTGAGTTGTAAAGCAACCCATAATGAGAGGAGAGAAGCGTGAGTCACCTGGCCCAGGGTTGCAACGGGCCCCGGATTTGGAATGATACACAGGGGCTTGTCCTTCAGTGCAACAATCCCAATTCCTGGTAGCCCACCAAGGTCCCTACTCTCGTTGAGATCCCGTGGATGAAAATGACAGTGTGCCTTTTATTATTATTATTTATTTGGTGGTCCTACATGTTTAAGAGGTCAAATGTATAACCAGGGATTAGGACACGGACATCTTTGAAGGGGCCTAGCATACCATCTTCGTACTTACCGTCGCTGACTTTCAAAGGGGACGCTGCAAAATGATCTAGCCCACTAGGGTGTTTTGTTGAGCCTGCAGTCCTTTTTAAGTAATATTTTATTGAGTTCATGGTGAAAGTTTACACTGCAAGTTAGGTTCCCATTTGACAATTTCCACACAAATTGTTCAGTGACATTAGTCACTTTTATCACAATGTGTCAACATTCTCTTTAATTGTGTTCCATTTGTTCCCTTTCCAGTACTCTTGTTTCCCCGCCCCCTTATCTTCTCATCTTTGCTTTGGAGTAACTGTTGACATTTTGGTCTCATAGGGATGGTTTTCAAGTAGGGCACTGATCTTATGGGTAATATCCTTTATTTTCTATTTCACTCTCCTATTTCACTAGAAGATGTTCTGAGGGGTTAGGCTCAGTTCTAGGTTTAAAGAGTGTCTCAAGGTGATAGTCTCAGAGAGTCTTCTGTTCTCTACTGTTCCAGTTTGTGTGAGCCTGTAGTCTTTATAGAATTAGTTACTAACATTTACAATTATAAAAATTTTATATAAAAATCCAGATCAGAAGATGTGGCCCCCTGGGGTTCACATTCTCCCCTGGCAATGGTTGGCTGGAGCTGAGCAGCAGCTGCCACCTTTACATGGGGCACGCTGGATTCACCACAGTCCCCACCACTCCCTATCACCTCCCACACCAAGGTCGAGTGTCTGCTGTTATTGATCGATGCCCTTGCAGGGTTGTTTTCTTGTAATGAAATGGAAAATGTGGGCCCCGTGTTTATTATCAAGCCAGAAGACAGACCTCAAGGCCGGTGTGTGCTTTAAGAATCTTCTTACTTCCCTCACTTACATCAGTTACCAGCCCAGCTCTTCTGGGCGTTTGTCATGTGTCCGCTGCCCTAACCTGCTATTCTACCACGGAATCTCTAGCTACAATTCATGGCTTTGTGTTCTGACCGTATTTTTTTTTTTAATGTCACAATAACTGAGTGGCCACACTTCCTTCTTCCTAAGCTAGGTGCCTCTTGCATTTCCAGTTAGCTTGGCCTCAGAAGAGGTCTGTGTCCCCGAGGATCCTGGGTGGAGCTAGAGAACACACAACACACTTGGTCAGGATCCCGCACTTGGGAGGGGAGGGATTGTGTTACGGCTTGTCAGAATTCTACAGTCCAAAGTTCGTTATTTCCTTGGCAAAACAACCTTTAAAAAAACAAACGTGCTTCACCGTGTTCAGTGAATCCGCCTTGGGAACGCACTGCCTCGGCTTGTTTAAGTGCGACTTGGCCTCTGTGAGAAGGAGTTGCGCAATCTCCTAAATGGTGCATACCCCAGGACCTCTTGAACTCTTTCCAGAAGCTGGGGTGGGTTGTGGGTTTGTTTTGGTTTGTTTGTTTTGGGTTTGTTTGTTTTGTTTATGCCGTCAGTGCTGCCTGTGGCACTTCGCCCTTTCTGAAAGGCTGGCTTCCTGCTCAGACACCGTTGGCCTCTTGACCTGACCTGCTGATGAGCCCCAAGCCTCCATTCTCTACCTTTCCCAACTTCCTGACTTGTTCCAGAGTCCCCTCTGGCGACCTGCACTCTGCCCAGTGGCCCTCTTTGGGCCAACCCTGTGACACAACACTGTTAGCTTGCACCCATGTGACCATTTTAACTGAGCTCAAAACTCCAGGCCAAGTTACTGTCTTCCTGAGACTTCAGGTAGATTTATTCTTAAGCTATGCCTCAGTGAATGGGCCCAGCCCACATATCTCTGGCTCTTTTGAAGCCTTCTTGTTGTTACCCCATACCCATTGCTGTTGAGTCGATTCCGACTTATAGCTACCCTATAGGACAGAGTAGAACTGCCCCATAGGGTTTCCAAGGAGCAGCTGGTGGATTCGAACTGCCGACCTTTCAGTTTCCAGCCCAGCTATTAACCACTGCGCCACCAGGGCTCCTAGCTGCCATCTCATCGGCCCCCAATTCATGGCAACCCCATGAACAATGGAAGGAAACACTGCCCAGTCCTGCACCATCCGCATGATCAGTTGCAGATCAGACCATTGTGATCCGTAGGGTTTTTACTGGCTGATTTTTGAAAGTAGATCACCAGGCCTTTCTTTCTAGTCTATCTTAGTCCAAAAGCTCCACTGAAACCTGTTCAGTATCATAGCAATGCTCAGGCCTCTGACAGGTGGTGGCTGCACATGAGGTGCATTGGCCAGAAATCAAATCCAGACCTCCTGCATGGAAGGTGAGAATTCTACCCCCTCTTTAAAGTCTAGTTTCCGCTTATGGGAAATATTTGTCACGAGAAGCCAGTTAGATGCCATTTGTTGAAGCTTATTGTACCAGTGGGGCATGGTGGGATACAGTGTTCTGGGGCCCGGGCAGCCCCCACTTCCATCTGCTCCAGCTGTAAGAAAGCCCAGCTCATACAGGACAATCTCCAGTGCTGGGGCCATTTTGCACAGGAAGGGAGGGTCTCAAGGAAGCGTCAAGGGGACAAGTGTACAGCCATAGGACATGACCTTGGCAAAGGGTAGAGGACGGGTTTGTGTGGATCTGCAGTGCTTAACTGGAAATTATTTATTTGTTGTAGATACAGTTTTTAGGTGGCATTTTATTTCTTACAGTTTTTTAAAATAAACAAATGTACAAAAAATATATGGGTCTCAGCTTGTTTAAATGCTTTGGTTACTTGTCCCCTGGTTCAGCGGAGGCCCCAGTTTCCCAGTTGTTTACTGTGACAGGCTCAACATGGGCTCTGCAGATGCTGTCTTCTCTGTTTATGGTACAGGAAGCTGGGCTTGGGGCCATGAGCTCTTCCTTTTCATTTGATCCCATGCAGTGTGTGAAGCAGACGTTTTTTGTCATGAAATACGATACCGTATTTTTACACAAATAACGTGCACCCTCTGCGTTTGTTTTCTGGCTGTGCCCTACCTTCACAAGGCACCCTCACAAGCACCACCATGCCCGTCCTCTTCCACATATTGCTGTAAAAAAATAAGCATGGTGTGCTTGCGAAAATACCTCGCAGTGGGAGGGCACAGCTGGCAAACAAATGCAGAGAGTGTGTGTTATTTGTGTAAAATACGGTAGTCTTAGAGTCTCACTACCACTTATTTTCAATTTTCACTGTATGCAGACAGAAGGAATGGAAGCTATCACCAATGGGTCCACTCAAGCCAGAGCTTGTTCTGTTGCTTAAGGCAACATGAGCATCCTGTATGACCACTCCCTACACTTGACCCCCATAGTGGCCTAGGCCCATCCACTGACTACAGTTGAGCTCTAACTGCAGTCCAAGTCACCAGCAACCAGGCAGAGAGAGGGTGGTGGGAGAGGGAAGCTCCAGATGGGCCCTCACCACCACCATGCAGTGGGAGAGGAGACCTGAGCACAACTGTTGGATGTGCCCAGGAGAGTGGATGTTGCTGCACAACAAACCACCCCAAAACAGTGACCTAAAACAAGAACAATTGTTTATTTTGCTCACAAATCTGTAATGTAAGAGGGCTTGGCAGGGACAGCTTATTTTGCTCCCTGTAACATCAACTGGAGTAACTCGAGCTAAAGAATCTACTTTCAATGTGGCTCACACATAGCTGGCTAGTAAGTGTCGGCTGGGAGCTTTGGTTCCTCTTTCTCTTGGACCACTCCACAGGGAGTGTTGGGCTTCCTCACAGCATTGTGGCTGGGTTCCAAGAATGAGTGTTCCTGGAGTTGGGAATTGGGAGCTGCCAGCCTCTCGAGTCTCTGGAAACTACACAGTGTCACTTAAACATGCACCCTGTAGGTGCATCAGTCACAATCTGCCCAGTCTTAAGGGGAGGAAACAAAGACCCTCACACCTCAATGGAGAGGTATCAAGAGACTTGCAACCATGCTTAATATGCTACTGTAGGGCTGGAGAAACACTGGGAGATTCTACAGCCTTGGACAACTCTGACCAACACCTTTTCCCTTGACCACCACATCCACATTGGGACCACATGCCACCTCTCACTGCCCTTCTGGTCCTGTTCTCAGGCCTCAAGGTTCAGTCTTCAGCCTTCTGGACTTCTGTCTCTGCACACTGCCCCATGAGGTTCCAGCTGCATGCTCTATGATGATAATGTAGCTGACACCTCCCTGGGCTCCAGGCCCACATTTTCAACACCCTGGTGGACTTACCAGCTCATACAGGTAGTCTCCAACTTACGATGGGATTCTGTTCTGATGACTCCATTGTAAGTCAGTTCTGATGTAAGTTGAATACCTCTTTTTTTTTTTTTTTTAGTTTTCATTATTATTGCCTTTTATTATCAGTATCTTTATAAATTCGGCAGTGTTTTGAACAGTAAACCATAAAATTGAACATCTGCAAGTGGACGTCTGAGAATGATAGCATCAGCAAATTACACGTTGCAACATGTTACTAACGATAAGATGTACAAAAACACAAAAGCGGACAGTCATTAAGTGCGGTTTGACATAACTTGGATACATCATAAGTC